CATTCATAGACAAAATAAATAAATAAATAATTTTGAAATATTAAATATTTAAAATTGCATTTATTTGAATTATTAAAAATATATTTAGGCTATTTGGTCATAAATTAACTGTTAATGAATACATTTTGAATTTATTTAGGCAATCAAATTTAGGCTTTAAATTTTTCGGTTAGGGTTTGGATACCATTTATATTATTATTAGCAGTAATTGATGTCACTTTTGATGAATAAAACGTGTGTATACTTTATTGGTTGCATTAATATCAAAGGTCCTCAGTATAAAGTACCCAAATAATATATGTTAAACCTGTAGGCAAAACATTAATGTACGTCTGCACTTAATCAATGCTATTTAAGGCCCAAAATCAAAATATTTTTAGTACAGAGAAGCTGTAATACTTTAAATTGTAACTTTGGCAATAGTAAGTAGATTTCAGTTATTTATCTGTTTTTATCATAAAGAATAACAACAACAATAATGATATTAATTACAAATTTCTATATAGTGCCAATTCCAAATTGGGCTTAGTTACTGAATAACACATAATGTTAATAGTTTTTGACATGGCCTCATTTGTTTAACATCCCATAGCCAATTTTGGTGCAACCCTTTCTGTAAAAATTTGATGAAAAGGTAATGTAAATTATTGTATTTTTAATTGCGAAATTCTTTGTGGCTTATTTTGCAATGGACATTTCAATTGTTGATAACGTTCCCATTACTTCACTTTGTTACTTTGTTTTAATAATTGTTTGTCAATCAAGCTTTCTATTAAATTTATTGTATTGAATGTTAATAGTAAATTGTAAAAAAGAATTGTTGATAACTTTAAATATGTTCCCTCTACTCTGGACTTTAAATATTAAATATTTTAATTACAAATATATATATATTATATATATTTAAGTTACTGGTACTTTGCATACTGTTTTAATAATTGTTACTTATGTTTTAATTGTTTGTTAATCTTTTGATTTGAATTTTAGTAAATTGTAAAAATTTAAATATTTTCCCTCTGCTCTAGACTTATAAATTGTTGTTACTTTGCATACTGTTTTAATAATTTTTTGATGTGAATTTTAGTAAATTGTAAAAAAGAATTGCTGATAACTTTAAATATTTTCCCTCTGCTCTGGACTTTAAACTTTGTTACTTATGTTTTAATAATTATTTTCCCTTTCCATTAGAAAGAATTGAAATAAATATTCATTGTATTTAATTTAGTATTCTTGTTTATTCATTGTAAAAAAGAATTGAAATAAATAAATATTCATTGTATTGAATTATTTCTTGTTTCTTCATTGTTATCAATTGTAAAAAAGAATTCATTGTATTTAATGAAGTATTTGAACCAGCAGCAGGATGGTAAAAAAAAAAAGCGCCCTCGAATAAAAAAGGCCCTAAATATGACTAAGTTATTTGGCCACAAAAATCTTGGGATTCCTGGTAAAAATAGTGAAGAAAAGCGCCCTCTAATAGCCTTTTCAATCCAAAGTTTTTTGGCGTCTCTTAATTGTCAATGGCGATGAGAAGCGCCCTCTAAAAGCCAAGTTACATTGAAAACGCAGAGAAACTGGCTATTAGAGGGCGCACTCTACCTTCACTATTATAGAATTAATGACAAATAAAAGACATCCAAAAACATTGAAATGAAATGGCTATTGAGGGCGCTTTTCAGCACCACAGGGAGCCCCTCTAAAGTCAGGCTCTGGAGGAAAACATTTTTTGATAATGTTGTAGAACTGTTTTTTCTGTTAGACATAAAAAAGTTGGCGGTTATTCTACTTTTCATTCAATTTATTTGAAATTCATATAACAAATTTCAAGGATAAAAATACAAAGTAACTCAAAGTCAAACTTATTTCCATTGTGGTCCTTCTACAACCTCTCAAAAATTGTTTTCCTCTGGAGTCTTTAAACATCAATTTTAGGAGACCCTAGAAATTGGCTTTCTATTACAGCGCACTCTGCAGCACGACTTTTAATAGAAATTTAAGGGACATGGGAAAAATTAAGCCTTTTTTATTCGAGGGCGCTTTTTTCATCTTACCTGCATCCATCAGTACAGTAGTCCTCAAACTTGCATCAGTCGTCCTCAAACTTGAACAGCAAAGAAACATCAAAACAGCACTACTTGTATTTTTTATTATCTTCATAACCAAATTCATTACATACTGTAAATTATTAGGCATTAACAATTCATTATACAGAAAATTAAATGCTCTGCTAGGCCTGTATTAATAAATTATAGTAGTTTTCAGGTTCCTCTGATTGTGATAAGACTGTAAATTCATTTTTTAGTACAATGTAATTAGTTTTCGAGAATGAAGTAAGTTGTCTTGATGCTGCAATAACATTACATAAATAATAAAATCGCTGTATGTTTTCTTTCACAAATTCATTATACAATAAATTAACAGCTCTGCCAGGCCTATATTAATAAATTATAATAGTTTTCTGGTTTCTTTTTGATTGTAATAAAATTGTAAATTCAGTTTCCGAGAATGAAGCAAGTTGTCTTGATGCTGCACTAACATTTCATAAATAATACAATCGCCGCATTCACCAGAATTGGGCCGTCGCAGTATTCAGCAACGTGTTCAAACTAAACTTCAGTATTCTTTTCTGTCTTGCATAATATTAGGCACCACAAATTACAGTAAATTAACTAAAGTTCAAATGCCGATATTTTGTTGTCTTCTTTGCTGCTGTACTTTTCCTGTCTTGCAACTCTAATGCTGCATCTGCCAAAAATATAATTTAAAAAGAATTAGATACAAACACAATATAATACAATATATACAGTAATTATAATTTCATAAGCTTCTACTTACAGTACTGTTAATTCTTTGATATATCTCAAAGTTACTTGTATCTTGCAGAAAAAATTGTCTGTCCTGGAAAAAAAAAATTTGATGTTTTTTAGTATCAGCGTACTGAATGCTTATTACTACCATTAAAAATGTGTTTTATTAATTTTTTTGGTAATTTATCCAGTATGGATTTGTATGTTACTGCAGAAAGAGCAAGTTTTTTTTGGTTTTTTTTCATTTACTGGGACAATATGTCTTTAAACTTTAATCAAAACCTGGTACAGTAATCATGATTTCAAACCTCATGTTAACATATGAGCGAAAAAAATTGTAACGGCCGCTGTTTGTCGCAAATTTTTCTAATTTCGCACAAGCAAACAAAACATTCAAGAATAAGAATTAGAAAAGTATATAACCAAATGAGACTTAAATAGTAAAGATGTGTGTTAACGGCATAGATACAGTATATGTAGGTTTATACTTTTGCCGAGAGATACAAGGCGCTGACTGTATTACCCATTTTCCCACTCCCTGGCGAGTATTCCTAGTCGTGCGTAATGCCAAAACAGACTAATAACTGCAATGCCACATCATCCTACCAAGTACCCATTCATACACCTGGGTGCAGATGTAAGTGCCTTGCACAAGGGCTCAAGCTAAAGGTATATGAAGCGCAGCTATAGAACTTAATTTTGATGGAATTGAATGTTATCGACACCAGTGGCTTTACTGATGTCTAAATATGAAATTATTTCCAGAACTTCATCAGCGGTAATCGGTTCAAGTAAATAAGGATTTTTATAACAAGGTTCACCCAAAATCGAAAAACACATGACACACAAACTAACCTGTATGGAAAGGCATAATGGGCATTTTATAAACTTCCAAGTTACAAATATTTTATTATAATACCAGTACTTGCCTTTAGTAGTTTTGTTGATTTACATCACAGAAATACCTATGAACACATCAAATTATCGAGGTTTCTGCTAGAATACTGCCTACTGACTATATCTGCCGTTATTTCACATTCTTACTCTTGCATTGCAATGTCTACACAGGTGGTGCTTCCAGAATATTAAGTGAAAATTGTTGCAAGAATGCTGAAGCATGTACTATCCATTAACTATAAAAAATAAGAAAATATTTATTTGTCTATGAAATTATTTCCAGAACTTCATCAGAGGTAAATGGTTCAAGAAAAAAAAGATTTTTAACAAGGTTCACCCAAAGTCGAAGAACACACTACACAGAAACTAACTTGTGTTGTTAGGCATAACAGGCATTTGAACAATTTCACGTGGTCACTTTTGCGTTGTAATAAGAAGCCCATGGGCTTCTTTTCAAGGCTAATTTTGCAAACTAAAGAGTTGGCTTCAATTCAAAATGGACTTCATCTCGAGATTAAGCCCATTGGGCTTCAATTCAAATCTAATGAATATTTTGAAAGTAATCACTAATAGGATGGCGTGTTCTGCCATGATAAATATAAAGAATAAAGATGATTTAAGAAAATATAATTCATGTAATTTATA